GGTGTTGCTGTGATTCACAAGCCCTTGTGACCCCCAACTCCCACTTCCAGGACGTGGGGTAAGGGAGGGGTGCTGCCTGGGACTCAAAAGAGAGGGGTCATGACGGCTGGATCCCACTCGGCTGGATCCCACTCGCTGGGAGAGTCTGCAGTGGAGTGAGAACCGCCCTCCTCTGACTTGGCAGAGTGGAGTCTGGAGTGAAGACTGGGCCCCACCTCCTGCATCTCTGAGGGTGTTTGGCCTCTGCCCCAAGCAGTGGGTTCTGGTAGCTTTGGGCTACAGGGAGAACGTGTGTCTGAGAATGTGGATGTGTGTGTGTGTGCGTCAGAGAGAGTGTTGTGTATATGTGTGGTTAGAACATGATATCTCACTAAGTTCGGGGTGGGGTGTGACAGTCTACTGGATTTCTGTACTACTGATCCTTCCGCTGTGGTAAAAATCAAATCACAGACACTCTCTTCCTGTGGGCACCTGAGACTACTGCCGCCTCTGTCTCCTGGAGGGCAGGGATGCCAAGAAATGACTGGCAGGAGAGGCAGTGCTCTGGCCATGCCCACATGCTGGCCTTGACTCTAGCACTGTCGGCAGAAGAGATGAGCATTCTTGAAGCTGCACTGTGACCTCTCTGTGCTAGAACTAGGAGCAAGCAGGTGCCCTGCCCCTCAGCCGGCTCTTCCTTGGTCTCTCCTACAGGAAGCACACAAGAGCTGCTCAGTCTTTGGACCACTGGTTTTTGATGTCATGAATTCCAGGTTTGGGAAGTTCGTGTCTCTTCAGCTAGCGCTTCAGAGAAGCCCCAAGTAACACACTAGGAAAAAATATACGAAAATCAAAAACCAAAGTGGGAAGGCTTCAGTCCCTGCCCACAAAGGTCTCAGAGAGAATCCTACTTCTGGATTTTTCCAGGATATGCAAGTCCCCATTATATTTATTATCCAGAAGTAATTATTCCCAACATCCTTTTTACCATCGAAAGTGTTCTGATATGGAGGATAAGTAAAAGGTCACCCTACCTCCAAACCCACAGCCTGGTTTGTCCTGCATCGGATGGGGTCACATGTGCTTCAGACGGTCATGGATGGAAGGAGTGTACCAGCTTGGCTGCTCGTTGGCATTTCGTGATGGTGGTCAAGTCTGTCTCAGGTCCTTGTCTTCCTTTCCTTGTGCTCTGTACCCTCTCTCCAGCCCTCAGAACACTCCCCTCCTCCTTGCTTCCCCTGTGGGGAAGGAGATGGTAGGCTCTGGATGTGTGATCTCTCTCAGGGGGACCTGCATTTTAAGAGAGGAGCTAAAGAGAATTTTGCTAGTCCACAGGTAAAAGTTATTAAAGACAGAACTTCAAGAATCTGCAGGGAGGTATTTGAGGGGGCACATAGTCATTTGCATTAAAAATAACCTTAAAGCTGTGCTGCTCCTAAATTAGCAAGTTGCTTATGTTGGGATTTCTGGCATAAGGAGGGGAGGTCTTGTGTCTGGAGTTTAACCTTCCATGATGTTAGGGTCCACCCAGAGGGAGCCGAGGGGCTTATGAGCCTGATACTGGACTTCTGATACATCTGGGCTCCTTCCAAGCAGATGTAGGAGACCAGCATTCCCTCCACCTCATGCTCACAATTGGAAACGCAGGATCTTCCCGGCTAGTTGGCCACTTTGTGTATTTACAGGATATTGTACACTGAACACTGAACTCTCTTGAAGATGAAACTTCTGATGTTGAGCAGATGTCATTTCAATGAGACATTTGGAGAGGACCAAGGCACCCAGAATTTCTTGGGAAGAGGCCAGAAATACCAGCTTTGGTGGGGCCGGGAGAAATGCCTCCAGGCGAGTTGGGGCGCACTTCGAGTCAGTGCTCGGCTCTCACCGGCACGGAGACACGGAGATGGCTAGTTCTAGAGCTCTACCTGGCTCTGGGTTGGAAGCTGATGGAATGAGCTTTTTGTTCCAAATGTTCTTCCTCCCTCTCTGAGGAAGGTTTGGGACTTAGTTTTGGTGTGTGTGTGTGTGTGTGTGTGTGTGTGTGTGTGTGTGTGTGTGTATGTGTGTGTGTGGTGGGGATGAGGGTGAGGTTGGGTCTGATGTGTGCTGTTCCCACAGCTGGTTTGAGATCCCATCCCCTCCCCTACACGTAGCAGCTGGACTTCCACTCTGTGTGGGAGAGGCTGCTGTTTGTGTGTCATCTTCCCAGAGGGTCCCTTCCCTGAAAGCTAGCCATGTTTCCTGCTTTTGGGCTTTTGCTATTGGTTCCCCCTCCCTCCTCCCTTCCAAGGAAGCACTGCCCCTAGTGGTGGTGCCACTGAGGCCATGTTCATTTTCTCCTCGTGCCCTTTCTCCTGGGGACTGGGACACTGGTGTGTCATCACTAAAAAGCCAAACTGCTCTAACTGCCCACAGATGCCATAAAAACTAGATGCCTCTTTGTCACCAGGTACTATTCTCTCTCCACTGTGGACACAGCAGACTTATTACAAGTCTATGCTGGTCACGTGGTAGATGAACCCCCAACCCCCATTCAGATGGCCACAACTACTTGTGAATGCAGCCTTGCCAGTGGTGTGTCTGAAATCCGATCACAGTCATGAAATGGAATTGCGGCCCAAGGTTACAAGCAGCTTAGATGCCACTTGGATACTGATTTGGACTACATAGAAGTCAGACTGAATTCCAAAGTAATTTCTCATACGTACCCAATGGCATCTCTCCATCTAAAAGTTGCAGTATTATGCAAATGAAAGTGACCTCATCTTCTCTATGCAATAAGAATACTTCATTTTGTTTCATGGCACACCAGTTGCAACATCCCTTAAGATGCTTTTTGAGTTGTCTTACTCTTGATATCTGTTGTGTGATGTTCATATATTCCTGAGCCAGATCCTTTCAGAGACTGCCTTTTTATAAAATCGAAGCTATAGCATTCAGGCAAAAATTTAATGTAGGTATTTTTATAAGATAATTTTTCAGGATATTTGAATTGCTTTTTGTTGTCCATGATAACGAAATGTTATGTTCTGTCCGTCATTCCCTATGTTTAAGAAACATAGTCCATGCCTATAGCTATCTTCCCTTCGTTTCTCATGTTCCCAAAACGGATTTTCAGTGGCTCCAGGTAGAAAACACAATCACCACCGGTGTTTCTTGAAACCCTTGGGACTAATGTTAAGCCTCCTCAGCACTCAGCCATCTGCGTCTGCTCTTTTGGAGTTTGCTTCCTGCAGTGGTGAGGCTGGTGGGCTCTCCCTGCCTGGCACAGCCTGGTCACTGTGGTTTGGGGAAGCCCCAGCAAAAGGCCTGCCCCCCAGCACCTGCTCCCAGCAGTGTCCTAGGTCCAGTAGACCCATCCTCATTCTCTTCCATCTCCTTATTCTTCTGAAGCTTCCAGCAGCTTAAGGCCCTTGCTGCCAGGTGATGCCCCTTTGGAAGCCTGTTGCCTGTGAACTTTACAGGAGGGTCACTCTCATGACCCCAGGAAGAATGTGTCAAGCATGTGCTTCCTGGCTGCTCACACTACACTTATAAAAGTACTTGTTTTTGTGCTGTGTCTACACTCTAGGTCTCTTTTGTGTGTTTATCTGCCATTAGCCTCATTAAAAATACTTTATTTTTATTACTATTGGGACAGGTGCCATTTGAATTGCCTCCATGCTCCCCATTTGCACCTTGTTGGGTCTAGTTGGGAGGCTGAACAAACTCATTCCAGCCAGCTGGAGTTTTCAAGTGCTTGCCTGGAGAAGCAAGGCGGTTGGAATGTATTTTCTTTAAGTGTTTGCACTATTCAGAGTTCTAAGCCCTTACGCCTAGCTGTGCTGGGTACCTACTGACCAAGCAGGGGAGCTGGCAGCACTGCCAGCATTGGGGACGGAGAGGCTTCTCCTGCGACGGATGATCACACCTCGCAGCCTGTGCAGCCTCGTCATGGGACTCAGTGACTCATGGATCAGCCACGGCAAGAGCACCCGGGACTGTGGCATTTGGAGAAACAAATCGCTCTAGTGCTATGTTCTTGCCTTTGGTTATGACTTTAAAATTCTTTCCCTCCCTTTTCAGTGGCAATAAAGGACCCTCGTTGGACTTAATTTGTATGTGACGTGTAAAATACTTCCTTTGAAAGGAGACTCAAGACACTGAATGTGTATGTCTGTGTGGGTGCACTCTGTCTGTGATTGTCCATAGGCAGGCAGACTTGACCACTGACACCCATCCAATACATTGCATAGGAAATGCCCTTGTCTGGTGTTTTCTGCTCGGACATTAGGGGCTGTCTATGTTGTAAAAGAACACTCATCACATGCTCTCTGAAGAAACAGTTCCTCGGATGTATCATTTTAACAGGAATCATGTTCTAGTTTCCCACACTTTGTTACTTTCATTTTAATAAAAGCTGAACTGTGAGAACCTTTCTCCGTCTTGGTATTTCATTTCTGTAGTCCAGACTCTCCTCTGTGTCTCAGACGTGGAAAAGATAGATTAATTCCTACATGTCTTCAGATTAAAAGTGTTTTCTCTGTAAGATCTCCTGGATAGGGTCCGGGTTCCTTTGGTCTCTGTTCTCTGGCCCAAGAACAGGGCCAGACCCACAAAGACCTTCTTTAATCAGGCCCAGTGAGGCCCGTCCCTCCAGTAGGTGTTTGGTGGTGTGGGCAACTGCCCGCTGATCATTGTGAGATGGGTGTGCTGGTCTCAGGCACAGGGAGGAGGAGACAGAGATTCAGCTATAAGCATTGATTTTTTTAAAGGTTGTTATTAGACCTAGAGGATTTTATAAGTATTATGTTTTATTAAATATACAAATATTATTAAATATACAAATATATTTTATTAAAATATACAACTATTTATTAACTATGTTGGTTCATAAGATATCAACATGTGAAATAATAATAATAGCTAACATTTATTGAGTACTTATTATGTGCCAGGCATTTTTCCAAGTGCTTTACTTATTATCGATGTATTTAGTTCCTATCACAGTCTACTGAGTTACTATTATCTTTTTACAGATGAAGATATGAGATGCGGAGAGGTTAATCAACTTGCCTAAGGTAGCAATGGCTGCAAAAGGATGGAGCCACTCCAGAGTCTGTGTCCCTAATCCTGTCACTCAGCCTTGAGGTGAGGGGAGAAGGGTGTGCTGAGGAGCACCCAGGAGAGGAAGGCACGGCCCCGGGGAAGTGCAAACATGGTTGAAAAAAACCCACTGAAGCCCAAGTTTTCAGACCCAAAATGTCCCCATCTTCTGTTGCTGGTAAATAGCCATTTGTTACTGTGATAATGGTAGCAGTAGCCACTATCATCAGTACATTGATGATGTGCTTATTTGTGCCAGACATCCTGCTAATGCACTACCTTGGCCTTTAATCCACAGCCTCCTGGGGAGGTGGCCTGGCCCCTTTGGAGCCTGGATGTTCCCTGTTGGCTGCCCTGCCTCGC